CTGGAGATGTGCGCGCTGCACAAACCTTGCCTCACTGCCAAGCCTCCGCCTCCCAGTTCAAGCGATTCTCTGTGCCTCAGCTCCTCCTAGTAGCTGGGCATTATCGGAGGTGTGCACCACCGCGGCCGTGCTCCAGTACCCGGGCCTAATTTTTTTTTTTTTTTACAGAGCAAGACTCCGTCTCAAAAAAAAAAAAAAAAATACATACACCTACTATGTATCCATAAAAATTAAGAATTAAAGAAGACTTGGTCTTTCTCCACATCCCAGCTCTGTTTCCCTCCTTGTAACAAAACCAAGCTGGAAGTTTAAACCCATCTTTGAGAGATCGCAGAGCAGGGCCAAAGATGGAGGGGCTCTGGCCGGATGGCTTCCAAAGACCCTCCCCACCTAGAAGTAAGTTCTTAAGAACTTCCTGGCCGGGCGGGTGGACGCGGTGCCTCATGCCTGTAATCCCAGCACTCTGGGAGGGCTAGGTGCGCGGATCACCTGAGGTCAGGAGTTCACCAGCCTGGCCAACATGGCTAAACCCCGTCTCTACTAAAAATACAAAAATAATTAGTCGGGCGTGTTGGTGGGCGCCTGTATTCCCAGCTACTCAGGAGGCTGAGGCAGGACAATCGCAGGACAATCGCTAGAACCTAGGAGGCGGAGATTGCAGTGAGCCGAGATCGTGCCATTGCACTCCAGCCTGGGCGACAAGAGCAAGACTTCGTTTCAAAACAAAAAGGAAAAAGAAAAAAAGAACTTCCTGCTGTTGAACCTTTGACTGTCCCGGAGACCCTTCCTCTTCCGTTTTCAGTGTGTCCCTATCCTCCTAGCTGGGCTTTAAGAAAGAGTGGGGGCAGCTGGGGCCCTGGGGGCTCCCCATGAGGGTCTGTCCCTGGGAACGGGGCGCTGGGGGACAGGCACTCCTTCTGGCTGGAATGCTACACCAGTGAGGGAAAGGAGTCCACTAGGGAAGTACCTGGCCAAGGAGACGGAGAGAGAAATCACAGGTGTTTGTGAGTTGATCAACTAGAGGGTGTGGCGAGGGGGGCCCTCGGAAGGTGTCTTAATCACCTGCAAGCTCCGCCTCCCAGGTTCACGCCATTCTCCTGTCTCAGCCTCCCGAGTAGCTGGGACTACTCTATTGGTTCAGGAATCAATAGAGAAGCTGCCCAGTCCAAGTGTTCAGGGCTGAGGGCCTCGGTGATGGAGATGAGGTAAGAAGGTAAGAAAACGGACGGTACAGGAGAGAGAAGACAGAGGACCCGGGCTAAGGGACGGAAAACAAAAAGTTCAAATCGTACCCCGCTACAATCACACATGAAAAATAAAATGGGCCGGGCGCGGTGGCTCAAGCCTGTAATCCCAGCACTTTGGGAGGCCGAGACGGACGGATCACAAGGTCAGGAGATCAAGACCATCCTGGCTAACACGGTGAAACCCCGTCTCTACTAAAAATACCAAAAAAAAAATTAGCCAGGCGTGGTAGCGGGCGCCTGTGGTCCCAGCTACTCGGGAGGCTGAGGCAGGAGAATGGCGTGGACCCGGGAGGCGGAGCTTGCAGTGAGCTGAGATCCGGCCACTGCACTCCAGCCTGGGTGACAGAGCAAGACTCCGTCTCAAAAAAAAAAAAAAAAAGACAAACCAAAAAAAAAGAAACTCAGTTTACAGACGACTGCTTGGGAGCAGTCATGTCACCCAGTCCAGAGGGAGTCGGTCAGCTGCGTTCCGCGAACTTGGGAGGCGACTGCGGGGGGAGCCGCGGGGTCCTCACTGCGCGCCGTCAGGGACCAGACGCTGGGGTGGCCCCGAAGCGTCAGGACTACAACTCCCAGGATGCCGCGGGCCAGGCTGCATCCCGCCTGCGCAGATGTGGTTGGCAACTCCGCCCCTTACCAGGCGGCGGCGCTGCGGGCTCAGTCCTAAGCGGGCGGAGGCAGCGAGCCGGGTGGGTCTGGGCCGGCTTCGGCGATATCTGTGGGCTGGGTTGGGGGCGTTTGAGCCCTTGGCTAGTCCGGGTGGGTAGCCGGGACCCCAACCCCCACCTCCTCCAGAGTAAAGCTCTCACGTCCACCTGGCGCGACGCTGAGCCATCTTCAGAAGCACCGCAGCCCTCAGAACCCCACATCACGCTGCCGGTGGTTCCCCGCATCCGGTGTCCGCCCCCGAAGCCTCCCTCCCTGCCCCGCAGGCCCAGCTATCTGCCCTTAACCGCGACCTGGGCCTCTCTTGGGGAGGCCCAGGATGGGGTCCTCAGAGGTCCGGGGACCCAGGGGCATTTGTGGCGTGTGTAGGGGCGTGGGCTTTAGGGAAGGGTGTTCCCCTTCAAATTGGGATCACCAGGACGGAATCAGGCGCACGGCTTCCTCCTCTGTGGCTTCCTGTGGCACTCCAAGTGGGAAGAAGAGAAGCTTGGAAGTGAAAGCCTCAGCTTCTCCTTTCTTCAGCCCCTCAAGCCTCAGAAAGATCTGTCAAGCGCGTCCCGCCTCTACAGAGGCCCTGGGGAGATGGCCTAGACCTTGAAATAGCCTAGAAAAGGTTTAACAGGTTGGAGCTTTTGCTAGAGAGATGGATCACAGATGGGCTTAAGGGGTGGAGGGTGTGTGTGTGTGTGTGTGTGTGTGTGTGTGTGAGAAAGATTGCCAGGTGAGAAAGGTGAAGAGCTGAAACCAACTTGGAGCTATGCTGTATTATTATAATGAGGATTTGGGTTGGCGGATGTTACAGGCTCTAACCAGAAGGCTGGAAGATGTGATAGGTGGGGCTTTTTTTTAAAACCCTAAACATCTCTTTGTAATCCATCCCTCTTCTGCATTCCCACCGCCACTGCCACTATCCCCTCTCGCTTAAATCTTGCAACAGCCTCTGAAAGGTGCTGCCTGACTCCAGACTGCTGACCACTAGCTCAGCACAGCAACCACTGCAGTTAGAGCCTTTAGCTCACTGTGTTCATTCCTCACTTAAAACCTTCAGTGACTGCCTTTCACCTCCCCTGCAGGATAAAGCCCAAGCTCCTTGGCATGACTTACGGGCGCAGTGTGGTCTGGCTCTGCTCCTCCAGCCTCATCTTACCATTGCCCCCATCTCACTCTACCCTCCGGCTGTGCCTAATGCACTTCTGCCAGGTCCTCTGAATAAGCCTCTCCTTTGCCTGTGGTTCCCTCTGCCTTGAATCATTTTCTGTCCTTTGCCTCTCCTGGCAGATTCCTACTATGTGTCATGTGTCTACCTAGAAGTCACTTCACCTGTGAGCTTCCATAGAGGAGCCTATATTTCTCTTATTTTAATAATGTGTAGCATTGTTGAGCATTTATTGTCTAAGTGCTTTACAAATGGTAACTCGTTTTGCCTCACAACCACCTTTTTTTGAAGTAAACACCATTAATATCCTCTCAATCTTACAGATTCAGAAACCGAGGCACAGTTGCCCAAGAACACACAGCTGGTAAGTGGTAGACATGGAATTTGAATGTAGACAGATGGGCTCCCGAGCCCAGAGTCCTAACCTCTGTGCCAACTGGCTGATGTATCATACTATATGGGGCAGGAGGCTGGGGTTAAGAATCAGGAGGTAATGGGTGGACAGGCAGGACAAATTAGATGGGGATTAAAATGAAAGTGGTGACAAGCAAAACTGTTGCCAAGACTGCAGGTGACAACTGAGAGAGTGAAGGCCGGGCACGGTGGCTCGTGCCTGTAATCCCAGCACTTTGGGAGACCAGGGTGGGAGAGAGTGAGTGGAGTTGGACCACTGCCACAGTGATGGGGTAAGGAGAGGGCCTCTGGGGGTATACGATGACTAAGTGCAGATAAGGCTACTGATGTCAAAACAGGGGTATAGGTGGGACTCATAGCAGACGGGGAAGGTCAGATTGGGGGACTTGATGAAGGAATCAGGCTGGCAGGTTGTGGAGGTGGTTATAGAGGTCAAGGGGAGAGTAGCTCAGGACTGTGAGCTTGCAGCCCCCAGGGGGAATGCAGTGGCTCTGAGTGCAGATCCGGGGATGTTCTAGCAGCAGCAAGAGCAGCTGAGGAGCTGAGCTCCGGCCCTCCACCCCGGCGCCCACCTCTGCCCTGTTGATGCTGCAGCCCCTCTTGGCCCCTCATCCCCAGCTAGGCACCCCCAGAAAGAGCTCCGTGCAGACAGCAAACTCACACCCCCATCTGCGGGGCCCTTTGCAAGTCTTCAGCCTTCTAGGTTAAAATCTAAACACTTTTTGGAAAGTTTTATTTGAAAACTTGGGGACAGGGCAGAGACAGCAGGATGGAGACTGTATTCTCCTGCCAGGGTTCTTGGGTCAAAAGCCAGGCTCGGGTCCCTCCCGTCTCTAAGTTCCAGGTCTGCTCCAGTCTGTGAGCTCCCGAGGAATATACCCACCCACCCACTGTCAGGCCCTTACTCCTCCCCCACCGCCCACTTCCTGTGCCTGAAGAGACACTGAGGCGTGGGGGTAGACTATGAGGGAGCGGGGGTGGGGAGGATCTGGTTAAACTCCAGAAGAAGGAAGTGAGAACCTGGGAGTTTGGGGGCTAAGAGGAACAGAAAAAAGAAATGAGGGGGGGGCTACTGTCTTTGCCTCCTCCATCACAAAAGCTTTGCCGAGATGTCTCCCTCGAAGCTCAGATAGGAAGTCCAGGGTAGATCACATCCTGTGACTTGGCAATGGCGCCCGTCTTTGGGTGCTGGTTGGGAAACAGTCATGCCCCTGCTACAGGGGGCTGGGGCAGTGCATGCCCCGCTGTGCCAGGCCCTCCATCTCAGCTGGCTGCAGGCTGGCTGTTGGCATAGGCCTGATCGGGGAAGGAGGCTCGGGCCCTGCGGGTCTGGGCACATACTGAGGCATAGAGCTCCGGCTCGGGGCCCAAGGCCTGGGACTTTGGCTCAGAGTCCAGCACCACCTCCGAGTACTTGATGGGGGTCCCAGGGCCTGGGATCCGACCCTGAGGAGGCCGCAGCTGTAGGCTGGTATAGCACATCACCTCCTCTGCAGCCTGGAGATGCAAGGCTGTTAGAAGTTCACTGGACCCTTGGAAAAGCCCGAAAAGCCCCCCACTTCCTTCCCTCCCCCTTTTCTCCAGCCACAGCTGACTCACCCTGGCAGGGCCTCCAGGAGTTGGATCCTGCTGGTCTGGTCCTGGGTCTTGAGACAGCCGTCCTGGGACAGGGAACAGGAATCTGGTCAGCAACTTGTCCCTGCTCCTGCACACCCCCATTCCAGCCACCCAGGACCTGGCCTCTGTGCCCCTCCTCTCTGCCAGCTCCCTACCTGTCTGTAGATAATGCAGGTTCCCATACAGCGGAACCTCTTCCACAGACCCTCCAGAGCTGCAACACAGAGTTCAGGGGATGAGTGGGGACTTCTCGGTAAGAAAGAACTCTCAGTCAACCCATCCCTGTTGTCTGTTACCCACCGTCCCTGCCCCGGATGGCTCCTGCTCCGGCCCCTGATCCACTGGGACAAGTGTGCAGCCAGCGAGATGAGAAACAGCAGCGTCACAGCTCCGAAGAGGACCCACAGTCCCCAGGCCTGGGTTATGGAGGGGATTCCTGTGGATGTGAAAGGAAGGGGGGTATAACTGCCCCGCCCAACCCCCAGGGCCCAGCAGGTGGGACCTGGGGCCACATGACCCCTCCCCCACCAGCCCCTGCCACGCCCAGCTCACCCAGTGTGAGTAGATCCGTGCAGTTGTCACCTCTGCTCATGGCTGCTGATGTGAGAGTCCACAAGCACACTGCTCTGAGCCGAGGGTCAGCCTGGTTCATGGCCTGACAGCTTCCACAGCCCTTCTTACTCCCACCCCTCCTCAGGCCTGTACCCCACAGCTCAGCATCCCCAATGCTGGTGGTGGCAAAGTCTCTGGTTTCCGGGGAGGAAGGGGGAGGGGAGGGATGAGAAAAAGAACAAAGACCCCGCCCTGTGCCTGCACCTGCGCCACTCCTGCAGCTTCTGAGCTTCCCCCACCCTCGCTGCCCGGGGCCCTGTGCCCCCCTTGAGAAGAGAAGCAGGCCTGTGAGTAATGTGCCACGGGCAGTTGAGTCCCTGAGGACTCCAGGGGCGGGGCGTGGGTGGGCAGAAGTGGTGTGAAGCAGGACTAACAAGAACAGGAACGCCCCTTCTGCTCCAGGATGCCCACCTTCCTCCCTGACTCTGGTCCCGGAAGAAAGATGTATTCCTCAATGAATATGATATAAAGTGGAAGGGTCGGGAGAGCCTCCTGGTACCTCTGATCCCATCATACCCTAAGGCTGATCTGAGAGGATATATGTATAGATGATGCTTGTTATTGTTTCATTGGGGGCATTATAACTTGGGGGACACCCCCAAACCTCCCCTTTCAACCCACTTCATCCAAACTGTCCGTAAGAACTGTCACTCTCGGCCGGGCGCGGTGGCTCAAGCCTGTAATCCCAGCACTTTGGGAGGCCGAGATGGGCGGATCACGAGGTCAGGAGATCGAGACCATCCTGGTTAATACGGTGAAACCCCATCTCTACTAAAAAGTACAAAAAACTAGCCAGGCGAGGTGGCGGGCGCCTGTAGTCCCAGCTACTCGGGAGGCTGAGGCAGGAGAATGGCGTGAACCCGGGAGGCGGATCTTGCAGTGAGCTGAGATCTGGCCACTGCACTCTAGCCTGGGCGACAGAGCGAGACTCCGTCTCAAAAAAAAAAAAAAAAAAAGAACTGTCACTCTCAATAATTAATTGCTTTTTTTTTTTTGAGACGGAGTCTTGCTCTGTCGCCCAGGCTGGAGTGCAGTGGCCGGATCTCAGCTCACTGCAAGCTCCGCCTCCTGGGTCTACACCATTCTCCTGCCTCAGCCTCCCGAGTAGCTGGGACTACAGGCGCCTGCCACCTCGCCCGGCTAGTTTTTTGTATTTTTTTGGTAGAGACGGGGTTTCACCGTGTTAGCCAGGATGGTCTCGATCTCCTGACCTCGTGATCCACCCGTCTCGGCCTCCCAAAGTGCTGGGATTACAGGCTTGAGCCACCGCGCCCGGCCTAATTAATTGCATTTTAAAACTCTTTGCCATACGACTGTCCTGGGAAGCTGAGCCCTGTCTTTGCACATGTTCACTTCAGGGGGTGTAGTACCTGCCATACCTAGAGATAACTCCATCACGTGCAAGGCTGTTGATGTACGAAGAGGGATTTGAAGTTGCAAATATAAACCTGAGACCAGAAGTCAGAGATGTGTTTTATCTAGCCCATACAACATTTTTTAAATGTTTAAAATCAGTGCAGTGGCATGCCAACAATGGGGATGGCAGAAGTCCTGCCCCTTGAGTTGCAGGCAATAAGGGGGTGCATTGTCTGTAGATAATTTTAAAAAGAAAAATCAGTCCTCTTCTTATCACGATGTTCCAGAAATTCTGGAAAAAAAAATCAGTGATAAAATTATCCTCCCTGAAAAATATTTTGTAGATCTAAGTTTTATTTTATTTTTTGAGACAGGGTCTTACTTTGTCTCCCAGGTTGGAATACAGTAACACAATCTCAGCTCGCTGCAACCTTGACAACCTCCCGGGCGCAAGGGATCCTCCCATCTCAGCCTCTTGAGCAGCTAGGACTACAGGCATGTGCCACCACACCCAGCTAATCTTGTTCATTTATTTTGAGATGAGGTCTCCCTGTGTTGCCAGGCTGGTCTCAATTCCTGGCCTCAGGCAACCTGCCCACCTCGGTCTCCCAAAGTGCTGGAATTACAGGCATGAGCCACTGCACCCAGCCCAGATCTAACTTTTAAATTGCTGTGGTTGACCAGGTGCAGTGACTCATTCCTGTAATACCAGCACTTTGGAGGCCAAGGCAGCAGGAGGACTGCTTGAGGCTAGGAGTTCAAAACCAGTCTGGGCAATATAGTGAGACTCTCCATCTTTACCAAAAAAACAAACAAAAACGGTAGACAAGCCTGGTGACACAAGCCTGTAGTCCTAGCTACTTTGGAGACTGAGGTGGGAGGATCACTTGATCCCAGGAGTTGGAGGTTGCAAGGAGCTACAATTGTGCCACTGCACTCCAGCCTGGACGATAGAGGGAGAGACCCTTTCTCTACATTAGATACACAAATACCATTGTCTTACAACTGCCTACGGTATTCAGTACAGTAACATGCTGTAAGCATTGGAGCTTAGGAGCACCAGGCTATACCATATAGCCTAGGTGGGTAATAGGCTACACCATCTAGGTTTGTGAAAATACACTCTATGACATTTGCACAATGACAGAATTGCCTGGTGACTCATTTCGCAGAACATATCCCTGTTGTTAAGCAATGCATGACTTTTTTTTTTTTTTTTTTTTTTTTTTGAGACGGAGTCTGGCTCTGTCGCCCAGGCTGGAGTGCAGTGGCCGGATCTCAACTCACTGCAAGCTCCGCCTCCCGGGTTCACGCCATTCTCCTGCCTCAGCCTCCCGAGTAGCTGGGACTACAGGTGCCCGCCACCTCGCCCGGCTATTTTTTTGTATTTTTTAGTAGAGACGGGGTTTCACCGTGTTAGCCAGGATGGTCTCCATTTCCTGACCTCGTGATCCGCCCGTCTCGGCCTCCCAAAGTGCTGGGATTACAGGCTTGAGCCACCGCGCCCGGCCAGCAATGCATGACTTTTTAGGCTGACATGATTATATTTACAAAGTTCAAGGAAAGAAAATGTTCACTGTCTGAGTTTATTTTCTGGCCCTTATTATTCATTTTATAATTATCATTGAAAATAATTTTGTCATATAATTTTTAAATTTGTTTTAATTTAATTTATTTATTTGAGATGGAGTCTCCCTCTGTCACTCAGACCAGACTGCAGTGGCACAATCTCTGCTCACTTGCCCAGGCTGGAGAGCAGTGGTGTGCCCGGCCATAAAGCATTTTTTTAAATGATCCACTTGAAAAATAAAAATGTGTTTCAGGCATGGTGGCTCACGCCTGCAATCCCAGCACGTTGGGAGGGTGAGGCAAGAGGATCGCTTGAGCCCAGGAGTTCGGGACCAGCTTGGGCAACATGGCAAAATACCGTCTTTACCAAAAACACAAAAAATTAGCCAGGTGTGATGGTACACGTCTGTGGTCCCAGTTACTCAAGAGGCTGAGTGGGAGGATTGCTTGAAGATAGGAGGTAGAGGTTTCAGTGAGCCAAGATCAAGCCTCTGAACTCCAGCCTGGGCAACAGAATGAGACCCTGCCCCCACCCCCCAAAAAAGAAAGAAAACAAGAAAAATTTGGGTCTGGGCATGGTGGTTCACGCCTGTAATCCCAGCACTTTGGGATGCTGAGGTGGGCAGATCACCTGAGATCACGAGTTTGAGAGCAGCCTGGTCAACATGGTGAAACCTCATCTCTACTAAAAATACAAACATTAGCCGGGCGTGGTAGTGCGTGTCTGTAATCCCAGCTACTCTGGAGGCTGAGGCATGAGAATTGCTTAAACCCAGGAGGTAGAGGCTGCAGTGAGCCAAGATCGCACCACTGCACTCCAGCCTGGGCGACAGAGCAAGACTCCATCTCAAAAAAAAAAAAAAAAAAAATAGAAAAAAGAAAAGAAAGAAAAATTTGGGATGGCTCACACCTGTAATCACAGCACTTTGAGAGGCTGAGGTGGGAGGATGGCTTGGGCCCAGGAGTTTGAGACCAGCCTAACCAACATAGTGAGATTCCCATCTCTGCAAAAAATTAAAAAATTAGTGAGGCATGGGGGCATGTGTGCCTGTAGTCACAACTACTTAAGAGGCTACAGTGGGAAGATTGTTTGCGCCTGGGAGATAGAGGCAGCAGTAAGCCATGATTGTACCACTGCACCACTCCAGCCTGGGCAACAGAGTGAGACATTGTTTCAAAAAGAAAAAAGAGAAAAGAAAGAAAAATGTTTTCTAAATGATCCAGGACAGGCAAGGTGGCTCACACTTGTAATCCTAGCACTTTGAGAGGGTGAGGCAGGCAGATTCCTTGGGGCCAGAAGTTCAAGACCAGCCTGGGCAACACCAGGTCTCTACAGAAACAAAACAAAACAAAACAAAAAACACAAATTAGCCGGGCATGGTGGTGTGTATCTGCAGTCCCAGGTACTCAGGAGGCTGATCCAAGAAGGCTGAGGCTGCAGTGAGCCATGATCTCACCACTGCACTCCTGACTGGGCAGCAGAGGGAGACCCTGTCTGAAACACACACACACATCCTCTTGGTGTCAAATATGCTAAGTATGCCACTGATTCCTTGTCAACAGTTAAAAATTGGGAGATTTCAAATGTTTAAAATCCTGATTTGTTGATTCCTTTGAAAAAAGATCTGGCAATAGTGCCCTGAGTTCTCTAAAGGCAATAATCAGTTGGGGACCGGTTATCATTATTATATCTGGCCTGAACCCCTTATTTACACCGACTGTGCCAACTGGCTTAGATTCAAGGTTTCTATAACCCTGCTCTGTGTACCCAGACTGTCACTGAGTCATCAGCTAGACCACTGGACCCCAGCCGTTTTGGCACCAGGGACAGGTTTTGTGGAAGACAGTTTTTCCATGCACAGGAGTGTGGGAGAAGGGGATGGTTTTGGGATGAAACTGTTCCACCTCAGATCATCAGGCATTGTGGTCTTTTTGTTTTGTCTTTTTTTTTTTGACAGGGTCTTGCTCTGTCACCTAGGCTAGAGTGCAGTGGCGCGATCTTAGCTAACTGCAACCTCCGCCTCCTGGGTTCAAGCAATTCTCATGCTTCAGCCTCCCAAGTAGCTAGGATTACAGGCACGCACCACCATGCCCAGCTAATTTTTGTACTTTTAGTAGAGAAGTTGTTGTTTGTTTTTTTTTTAACCATGTTGGCCAGGCTGGTCTTGAACTCCTGGCCTCAAGAGATCCGCCCACCTTGGCCTCCCAAAGTGCTGGGATTATAGGCATCAGCTACTGCGCCTGGCCTAGATTCTCATAAGGAGCCCACAACCTATATCATGTGCATGCACAATTCACAATAGGGTTTGTGGTCCTATGAGAAT